GCAGCTGCCGACCCTGAACTCTCCAGGCTCCCACCAACGGGAGCTTCCCGGGCGACTCCAGGCACTGAGCTAGGAGGGACGGATGCTTCGCTCCCCAGCACCTGGCGCATCCTTCGCGCTGCTGGAGCGCAGGGGGTATTGCCAGAGCGCGCGGGGGGCATTGCCAGTGTCTGGAGAAGCAGCCCACGGGGCTCACAGCACTCTGGAGGGGGCAGGTTTGGGGGTTGTGTGGGGCCAGGTTAGGGGTCTGGTGCATGTTGATCTATGCACTAACCGGTAGGCTTTGGACAGTTCTTTTCGTCAGAGCCATCCCCACAATCTTTTTCTGAAACACAGAACCAACCAGACAGGAGAGTGGGCACAATGACAAACAAAACAACACAACACGGCACACGCACAGAGAGCGGCACAAAAACAGGCTGACGCCGGGACGTGAACATGGACATGGAGAGGGACACACAGAGGCTGCACAGGCACACCGAGCGGCCTGGGAGGCGAGACCAGAAGCAGCAGAGGATGCTGGGGGAGCCCAGGGCATCTGGGCTGTGAGCACCTCGTCACCGCAGCTCCTGCCCCACAGGTGCCTGGCGAGGCTCTTAGCTGCACAGAGGTGCTCCACACAAAGGCCATCGCTTTGGTGAGTGCCTGGCTGCCAGCCCTGGTGGGTCCCCAGGAAAAGAGACCGTCCCTTGGTGGGTATGGCTCAGAGGGAGGCCTGCCCCAGAAGGAAGAGGCTACTTCCCCAGGAAGACCCCAGGGAGAGACCTGCATCCACAGCTCCCCGCTAACCTCCTGCACCAGCACCTGCACTCTACAGCTCTGAATGTACCTCACCTGCTCTGAATGTACCTCACCCTCTCTGAAGCCACTAATTAAACCTAATGATGCAGAGCTGCTAGGAAGACTGAAACAAACCTCTGGGGAAGGAAAGCAGCCCTGGGGCAAATCCTCTCTCCCAGGCCTGGCCCTGGAAACAGAGACCAGACCTGAGCTCTCTGGGAGACCTCTCCTGCCTTCCCTGGGACTACGGGACCTGACTCAGCCCCGCCAGCAGCACAGGCCACTCCACATTTGTCTCAAGCACTGGGGCAGAGCTTTGGCCACATTGCAAAGAATGCCAAGGTCTGCTGAAATGATGCCTGCCAGGCTGTTCCTGCAACACCCGCTCCCCCAAGGGCAGCCAAGAAAAATGTGGGTCTTGGTGTTGCAGGATGCACTTACAGCTTCAGCTAACGCCTCCTCCTTTCAGGGCCTGGGCTCTGCAGTTTAGCACAAGGCGGAGAAGTGGCCCTTACAGGAACACAGCCCCCCGCCAGACTGGCACCCCTGCATCTGATCGCGCTGTCCCCGGCTGTGTCCCCCTTGGCAGCTGTTGGGGGGTCCTTACCGTTGTCACACCGCCAGTTGATGTTGATGCAGCGCCCGTTGTTGCAGGTGAACTGCGTCAAGGGGAAGCAGGTCGGGTAGGCTGCGGAGGAGGCAGAGGCACAGTCAGGGTGGGGAGATACCCTGTACCCCAATGTCCACGCCTGGCCCCACTGATGTCTCTGCCCCACAGTGGGGTGAGGAGCAGTGCTCCCCCAAATGGCCTTGTGCTCCCAGCACTCCCCCTCCAGCTCACCGCACGAGGCAGACTCGTCGGAGCGGTCCCCACAGTCATCGTCCAGGTCACACGTCCAGGAGATGGGGATGCAGCGCCCACTGGCACAGGAGAACTGGTTGGGGGAGCAGGTCCGAGCTGGCCCAGGGAGAGACAGAAAGCGCTTAGTAGCTGGTGGTGCATTGCTTTGCTGGGGGAGAGGTGGGGAACAACCCCCGCCGGGGCTCCTGCGAGGCACAGGCGCAGAAGCCAATCTAGCTGCAAGGTGGGCAGCAGGGAGCCTTGGCAGCAAGGCCCCGAAACCTCAGCCCTGCAGCATGTAGGGAACAGCGAAGGCTGCAGCTCGGCACAGCAGTGTGAGCTCTCCCTCTGTTCCCTCTGCAGGATGAGGCAGGCTCCTCACCCGAGCAGGTAGAATTGGACTCGTCCTCGTTGTTCCCGCAGTCGTTGTCCCCGTCGCAGAGCCAGCGGTTGGGGATGCAGCGGTTGTTCTTGCACTTGAAACGGTCTGAGGGGCAGGTGTGCTGGTCTGCAGGGGAAACGCGTGCTCAGGGCCTGCCCTTCTCTATCCCATGCCCATTCCCCCTCCACGTCTGGGGGACAGAAAAACTGAGACAGAAAAGGGCAGGGAGCCTCAAACAAACTGGGGATCCAGGATCCTAATCACCATCTCCCCCCTGAATTGCTCAAGCCTGCTCCCCTCCTAGAGCTGGGGAAGGGACACAGGGGCCCTGGCTGCCCAACCCCGTCCCAGCCATTGGCCACACACCTGGGGGGAGCTTAGCCCGAATCCTGCCACCCCAGGAGTGCGTAAACCCCTATCCCGCCGTACAGGAGGCAGCTACGTACGGCAGAGCTCGGGGGCTTCGTCACTGTTGTCCAGGCAGTCATTGTCCCCGTCGCATTTCCAGCGCTCCTGGATGCAGCGGTTGTTCTTGCAGGCAAACTCCCCGGGCTGACACTGTGGAGGGGGGATGTAGGACGGGTTGGCTGGCAAGGGAAAAGCAAAGGGAGGGGATAATTTTAACCAAGTGCAGCAGCGAGGACAGTCCTGTGTCCCCAGGCTAACAGGATGTCTACATGACTGCCCAGCAGCCCCGAGAGTGTACACAGACACTCCTGCCCATGTGCACCAGCTCCTGGGCACAAAACAAGAAGGTGCAGCCCACGATCGAGGGGGCTCAGCCTGCATGCATGGACCGCACCAGCAGAGCTTCACCCCTCTCACATAAGCTGGTGAAACACATCACTGCCCAGGCTCCCAGCCCTGAACCTGGCTCTTCCCCAAGTTGACAGCAGAGTGAACCTGCCCCGACTGTGCGAGCAGTATCAGACACGGTTGCACAGAAGCTGTGCAGCGATCCCCACCAGGGATTTCCACCCATTCCGTGGACAGGTGGCTGTCCTGCTGCCACCGTGCGAGAGGAGGAACTGGAGCTGTTAACGTGACTTGTCTGCAAGCTCCCATGGGTGCAGGGAGCACCCACCTCCCTGAGCCCCGGGCCAGCCCTGCACCGCGTGAGGCATCAGGGCTGATGTGCCAGAGCGGAGCCCTAGATCCTGTGTCCCTACCCATCGCCCGGGGAGAGGGGGTCCCCAGTGGGCAGCCTACCCTGGCAGGTGACAGAGTCTGAGCCCAGGATCTGGTCCTCAGCACAGGCACACTGACGGCCCCAGGGGGTGGCCAGGCACAAGCTGCTGCAGCCACCGTTGTTCACGCGGCACTTGTTGGAGCCCACTGTGGAGGCAAGGCAGGGGTAACGAGATGGGGACTTCAGCACCCAGGGAACCCTGCTGACCCACAGCGGGCTGCTGGGTGCTCTCGGCCCCCTGGACTCCCTCAATAGGCTCCACAGTTGGAACCCAGCTGGAAACCCCAGTTCATGAGGCCATGCAAGGCAGTGGGGACCCATCAGGAGACACAAAGCCTGGCTGAACTAGCCAGGAAGCCTGGCAGGCATGGAGGGAGGGGGAGAAAAAGAGAAAAGGCTGGAAGGGCAGGGGATGAGTGATAGCAGGGTTTACAGAAAGACAGCATGCATGGGGATAGACAGACAGGCAGGGATATGGCCAAGAGGAAGGCTGGGCACTTCCTCAGCCGCCGGTGCCCAGTCCCATCCCTCTTCCAGCCCCCCTGTTCCCTCGTGCACGGCAGGTCCTGGCGGTGCCAGGCAGAGGTGGCCCCAGCACCTTGCTGCTGCTGTGCATCATACATCCGGATCTCGAAGATGGGCGGGCGCTCGTTCCGGAGCAGGCTCACCACCTTGGAGGCCTGGTCCAGCCGGTAGATGCTGCCGCTGCGGTACTCGGTCCAGAAGAGGAAGTTGCTGTAGTGGCACAGCCCAAAGGCGTGATTCAGCTCAGGGCCCTCGTACACGATCTGTGGGTGCAGGGAAGTGGAGAGGCTCGTTGTTAGCTGCAATGGGTGCCCAGGGAAACCCCACGTGGCAGGACAGGGCAAGGGACATTGGAAGGGGAGAAGAGGGGACAGGCAGCAGGGGAGCGTGGCTGAACATGGCCAGCCATCCACTGAGCAGACCCACAGCAGATGCAGTCAGCTGAGGCAATGGCTCGGCTGCCCATGGCCCCAAGTCTCCAGCGATCAGCATCCGAAAGCCCACGGGGCCTGCACTTGCCTTCCGCTCGGTGCCATTGAGATAGACCATCTCGATGCGGTCATAGAAAGCATCCACCCAGTAAAGGATCTTGGCTGGGATGTCCAGGCTCAGCCCATTGGGCCACAGGACGGTCTTGGAGGTGATGAAGATGTTGCGGTTGGAACCGTCCATCCAGGCTCTCTCGATCTTGCCCCTCTTGCTGTCTTTGGGATCCTCCTCCCAATCTGTCCAGTACATCCACCTGCCACAGACACTAAGCTGTTACAGATGCAGATGAGCCAGGCTCGGAGCCCGCCCCACCACTGATCTGAAGAGCAACTGGTTCTGCCTCCACACAACCAGGTGTGAATGCTCTGGCTGCTCGCGGAGCGGCTGACACGAAGCAGCAGGCAGGTCCTGCCGCCCTGTGCCGACAGCTAGACCCCAGCCCAACACAACAGCCCGACGGCCCTCCCACCCACGCCAGCACCACCGAGCCCAGGCTGAAGCTGCCGCGCAGTGCGGAGCTGCTGCCATCACCACAGCCGGAGCTGCTGCCCGGCCCTGCTGTCACAGCTTGTGAGCCACTGCAAATGCTCAGAGACGCAGCGACCGCCATGCAGAGCTGGGGACCCAGCCACCAGCTCTGCTGGACCCTGCTGTGGGCAGGAGCAGCTGCGCCCTCCCACGAGCCAACTCTGACCACCCAGGCACCCACACCCGTTCAGGGGGTCCACCACGATCGCTCGGGGATGGGTCATCTTCCCCTCGATCAGTGTCTTCCGCGTCTGGGCAGCCTTCTCCAGCCGAGCCACGCTGATGGTCTTTTTGGGGCCATCATCCGTCCAGTACAGGTTGTTCCCCATCCAGTCCACAGCAATCCCTTCCACGTTGTGGATGCCTTTGGGGAAAAGCAGCAGCAGGCACTCATCACCAGGGCTGCACGGCAGCAGGAAGATGAGAAGCGGAAGCGACAGCCCCATATGATTCACAGTGCATTCGGCATCTCCCAATCCCCACTCAAACCAACAGGGATGACGACGGCCCCCCGTCCCAGTGCAGGCAGCTCCCCCAGAGGTACCGCAGCCACGGGGAGCCTGGGCTGGAAAAAGTCAAATCCAGGAGCATCCTCAGCTGGCAGCGTGGGGATGGATCAGCCATGGCACTGAGCCCCAGGGACCCTGAGGATCCCCCATCCCTCCCTCCTCCTCCCACCTGAGCAGGTTGGGCTGGGCCAGCTCAGGCAGGAGGGGGACATCCAGGGACAGGGGTCCCTCTCCCGCCTCTGCTGGGGCA